TTAACCACTGACCATCCCAAAGGCTCTAGGTCTTTAATAAACTCGTGAGATGGAAGCTGTGTGGGCAAATGGACCATTTGATGAGTTCCCCACTGCGGCGGTAACACGATGCAACGAATTTCTTTTACTTGTGGATTGTCCGGTGGCGACACGCCATACAAATACCCAGCAATCTGAAAAAAAATGAAAAGAAACTTAAGAGGGAATTCGGCAGCACACAACAAATGTGGTTTAAAAAAATAAAAAATGAAAACCTGTGTTCTTAAGTCGGAAATGATGATGAATTTCTTTAATACATTCTTTGGTAAAATGTAGGTATAACCAGTGTCCTTCACGTCGTCGGAATTGACGTATATGTGTTGAGTTCTCAAATGCAAATTAGTAGAACTAATTGCTCGTACTCTCCACTCAGTTCTGGACGCAAACGACTGACTCTGAAGAAAAATTTAATTTAGTATGCAATATGATTGAAGATTACGGCAAAAACAGAATAATATCCAAACTATAAAAATTTTAAATAACGATCTTCTGAAAAAAAATTGACTTCATAATTGCTCGTCGTGGCCGATATTATCTCATCTCCATGTTTGTTAACAGTCCTTGTCGTTGTGGCAGTAACCTGTAATTTGTCCCTAGTGCAAATACACTTTACAGAGGAAAATCAGAGAAATTTTTCAAAGATTCAAATAAAAAGTATGATGAATTCGCGATCATTTGAGTTCACCCACCTGACTCTGCTCCTTGGTTTGTTTCTCGATGTCAGCAATCTGTTGCCTCTGGGCAGAAGGAGCGCTGATTTCCATGCCGAGTATGATATCCCTCACCTCACTTTGTGTCAAGGAAGCAACATTCACATTATTTTTCTTGCCGTAATCGGCCAATATCATATCTTTAAGAGCAAGTTCAACCTAAAATAAGCCTTCCTCCTTTGCTAAAAAAAGAAAGAATAAAATGAAAAATAAAGTTAATTAAACTCACCTTGATCCACTCCTCATCAGACAAGGAAGGCCAGATATGATGTGGTTCGGTAAGCGTTGTCTTGTCTGGTTTCAATATCACCTTGGTTTTATCTGGGTTGATATGCATTCCTCGCATGATGAGAATTACTCGTGAGAAGGCAGTGTAACTAGATATTGTCTAAAAAAAAAATCTTTAAAGCAAACACGCCGAAAAACAAGAGTAAGTAAAAAGGAACTAATAAGCACCAACTTTTAGCCAGTCATCATAGAGATTGAATAAGACCATCTGTGGTTCCGTCGCCTTCAAAATCAGATCGCCGAATTTTTCGACCTAAATCAATGTAGCTCCCGAACTGTTGTTGAAATTTTCAAATTAGTCATTGCCAGAGTAAGTAAACTAACTTTCATAATAGCCTGGAAAGGCAACATAAGCTCCGACCCTTTGATGACAATATTTGGAAAATCAAGTAAGTGGACTTCAAGAGGATCAAGCATTGCCTTCCTTGTGACGATAATCTGACGCGGCTGTTCTTCCACTGGCAAAGAGCGAATTAATGCAGCAACTTCTTCAGCAGTCTTCCATTTCGCCAACTGTAAAATACAAAGACCTACGAAAAAGCCAGCATTGAATTACTCATAATATTGGATTTCAAATACAAGTCAGTTCGGAAAAACATCGGTTCCTATCAAGTTCTGACCTGACTTAATCTCTTCTGACCAGCCCACACGCTTGTATGGATAATTTTCAAAAATAGTTGGCCCGTTCGCGGGTTAAAAATGAATATAGCACCATTAATAGGTTTCGTTGTCAAGTTACCTTCAAAAGTCTGAAAGGAATCAATTTGTAAGTTAATTGCAGAGTCTCCAACACAAGTTTACGAAAGTAATGGAGAAAGAAAAACCTTGTGAATGGTGACTCGATATACATTTGTGTCATCCACAAACCATATAATCTGGTTGCTGAACAACTCGCCATAGTTTTGCGACGTTAAATACGGTTCTGTTGGTTCTGAAGAATAAAGCTGTAACCCTTTTCTTATCCGTTCACGCAAGACATAAAAGGCTGGATTAGCCTTAATAATTTTGGCCATTGCTTGACGTATCAGCGGCTTCATACCAGGAAACCAATTACCATAAGCGCTAAAATGCAATACAGTTATCAAAATGACAACTGCATTAACAACCTATTTGAATTAATAAACATAACAGTTAAATGGCAACGCAGAGAAAGTGAGAAATCAATCGATAATTATCTCCATTAAAAAAATGGGACTTCCTACTAAAAAGCGCTACAACACCAAACATTCAATAGCAAAAGTTAGATTTAATTTTCCAAAAGAGTAACTATTCCAGATGTCACATAGGCAACGCAGCCTACGGGAAACAAAAAACTTTTATTATTCCATTCTTGCAGTAGTAAATGACTAAACTTACCTATACAAATTGTAAGCTAGATCTATGGCGATAAGCACACCAGTAGGTGATGGGTAAATTGACATATTATCTGTAGTATAATCGAGAAACTTTGCCCTGGCATATCTTTCAACATCGTGAGAATCATAGTCGCCCCATCGTAACTGGATGTCCAGCCAGTATTTCTGAGTAGTAGTACTGTCCATCACATCTCTGCAAACTTCCTAACATCCGCAAGAGCCAAAAAAAAAGCAGAGTTTTTCCGGCACCGATAAACCCAAATGTAAAGTGATTATATCGCAATTAAAAAACTACTTGGAGTCAGCAAGAAGTGACGGGCGAGAGACATGCCACTTATATTGCGCGAAAAGTAAAATGTCAGCACAAGAACTGTTCATTTTGTATGACTTTCTGGGATGAATAGTCTCTTTTTGGACGGTCTGAATTTCCAAAGCATCCAGTTCCTGGTCAAACACCTAAAGAAATAAATTTTAACTATTAGAAATAATGAATCCTGTACCTGTAAAACTCTCTAGCACCTACTAAAATCGATTAGAATCAAGAGTAACAAATCACCTGACATAAATCCATTACAACGGACTCGTGAATCTTCTGCCACAAGTGAGCTCTGAATATTTGAATCAACGATATTTTCAATGTTGGAATTTTACCGTGCATAAAAATTCCTGTCAAGTCAAGTTGCACTTGGAAGCCGACATAGACCTAGAACAGCAAAAGTGCTAAAGAAAGGGAAGAGAAAAAAGTAAGCCTAATAAGAGATGAAAGCTAACATTGGCCCGATTAATAGTGGGGGACCACCATAAAGTGAACCGACGATTTGGAATTTGGTTCAAACCAGAACGTTGGGCATTAGTCAATTTTTTAAACTTCATAGATTCTTCAAATCCAGACGCTCGCTCCCAAAACAGGCCTTCCCATGTTGGAAAATATGTACCCTACAAAAATGAAAGTTACTCTAGAAAACGACCTAAAAAAAAGTACAAAAAAAGAAAAGACAAGAATACGTAACAACAGGTTTAAAAAGAAACTTACCCTAAAAAGAGTGTGCTCCAAAATGCCTTCGACACCTCCAAGAGCTTGAATCATGTCCGTTCGATAATTATTTAAATTCCACAACTTGCCGTCATGGCGTTGATGCGTCCACCAAAACGGATTTTGCTTGAGTATCTGAAAAGCATCAGATTTAGATGTCGTCGGTAGAACCAAAAATCAAGGTAGATTGAAGGTTACCTGATAAGTTTTGAATTCAGTCCGTACACGCCACCCTTTATCATACGCCAACGTATGTCGGTCCTTTTGAAACAGTGTATTAATTCTTGGTATACCTCTGTCCCAACTATCATCTAAGTCTTCCAACGTTAGCCTTCGATTCTGCGCGTTGGCTTCTTGCCGTTTTAAAGCATACTCTGCCCAAACACGTTGAGAATCAATAAACTCGGCTTCCCACGGCTAAAAAAAAGCGTTTGTTCAAAAAATCATACAAATAGCAAAAAAAAGTGTAAATTATTAGAGACCTGGATATATCTGTAAAGATTTGGTATCAACTGGTCTTCATCATGTGTCATACCACTACGAAAGTGGGTGATGCCTCCTGCATCAGTCTGTTTCATCCACCTCAGATCTGACTGTGGGATAAGGACGTGACCCATAGATAGCATCCCAAGACCACCAATCTCCTTCGGTGTGTAGAATACCACAGGTGGAAAACGAGCTGGCATTTTCGAGTTCAGCCCGATTTTAATACTAAAATTTGTAACGTTAGAAAGCTGATAGTATGAAAAAAAGCTTAATTAACTGACCGAGTCTGAATTTTGTTTTCGCATTTGACCAAAAGGTCGAGCAACTCTTGCGTGTTAACAACTGCCTCACGGAAATAAGTCATCAGACCGATTAACGCAGTATTCCACTTATTCACAATCTTAAACAAATGTACTTCAGCAACCTGTTCCCGGTAGCCAATAAATAAGGCGAAATTTGCTTAGAGTCCATCAATACGCACCTCAGTCACTATTTCATTTGACAAGTAAAAACAAATCTAAAACCTTCGTAAACGTTGTGGAACCAGATGACATTAAAATCTGACGGATCCGATTATGAAACTTCAGTAACGACTCCTCGTCTACTTTCAAAAAGCACTGCGCAGTCCTTTCCTTAGTTACCTACAGAAAAACAATGATAGACATTAAGGACTTCTAATTAGCAACAAAACCTAAATTGCCTACTTCATTCTGAAGGTTCCAAACACCATCCCTATGAGTTAATTCTTCAGTTGCCATCCTGCACTTGGGCAAAATGCGGCATTCGAAACCACACATGTCGAAGAGAAGGTTTGGGTTATCTTTACTGTACACGGACACAAAAGAATTTTCCCACTCCACGGTAGTTACAGAACGGGGCAACCGGTTCTGAAACATTGAAGAATAAATTCAAAATCATAAGTTAGAAAAATAAAATACAAAAATAGTTACTGACATCAAGTGACGGTAAAGAAACATCAAAGTAAAAAATTTTTAACCTTTATATCCCAAAATACCGCCCTCCCTAAGTTAACATCATGTTTCATGAGCCTCATTCGAGCGTCTCTGGGCCAGCATTTCTTATTGTTGTATCCAACAATATTTTCATTATTGGGGTCTGGATGTTCTGTTAAATACCGTTGAATAAGATCTCTTGCCTCATCAGCCGAGAACCTAATATAATTTGAGTAAGCAAACTTTGTAAGGCATGAAAGACGGCAGAAAAATGAAACGAAATAAATTAAGGTCTAAATATACCTAAAGAAGATCCAAATCTTGTCTATATATCTGCAGTACAGCCTTATAGGATGAACAACTTCAGTGGCAATGTCTTGATAGGTCAAGAACTCGTTGGGACACTGAAAAAAATCTCAAACTTATAAATAATCCAAAAACTAACTATGTAAGGACTCAACAAAGGAGTGCAAACAAAAATAAACGTAAGTCTTCTTTTTTCTTGATAAATTTAAATATCGACATCATCACTTTTTCACCTGAGGGAGTCCGGCTATTTCACTTGCCCTTCGTAAACCAAGGATAAGCAAATCTAAAACCAATCCGTAATACTGGACAATAAACGATGCGAACTGCAGCCCCCGAATAATTCCAAACGAATTTGTATGGTTCATATCCTTATAGTTAATTAATACGTTGTTCTTAGCAGTCATGTAGTCAGCAATATTATGGTCCACAATTAACCTTAAAACATCCTTTTAATCCAAAAATTTTTAAAAGAAAAAGGAGCGCGAAAAATCGACATAGGTGCAACCGATGCGGTACCACGTGAACCTAAAGAATTTGTACTAAAAGTCAACTATTTTTTACCTCAGCAACCTGTTTAGCAAAGTCAAATCCATTTTTTCATAGACCTTTTCCAACCGCGCTTCCAACATGACATCACACTCTCCTTCATTAGTGTCCCAAACTTCTTGTAAATTGTTAATTCCTTGGCACCTTAAAATGAAACAATCGAGATTCTGCCACATTTGCAAATTAGAAATAAAAAAAGATTTACTCTGTTTATTTTCAAATGTCATAAGTTTACAAAAACTACCATTTGTAAGTTAGTAACGGAGGAGGTTCTGTATCAGCCGGTTTTATCCAGTTAGGGAATAAGCGCCGTTTATCAGCTTCATACCATAAATACTGGTCCAAATAAGCGTCAGTTACTTTTTCCAAGGGCTCTATGTCATAAACAGGAACCAGATAGGAATAAAGGTCCATGAATTCTATTCCAACTTCCTAAAAAATTGTCTTTTGACTTCACCAGGATTACAGAAGGCATTCCTAACTCAGACTAAGTGTGTAAAATAACCTTGAAAGCTCTCTGCGTCAACATGTGACGTTTGATACGTGAAAGAGCCTCGTGGGGATTGTCGTACGCTTGCTCAATTAAGGCTAATTCTTCTCTCTGACTCTGGTTCAACCTGTTCTTCACTGAATAAGCTTCCTGCAAGTATAACAGTAAAGCACATCGTAAGGCTATATGTGCTTTGTCCACCGTAACAGGCTCATATTTAAACACAAAAGTTTTTCTTAATACCAATTGTAAGAAAGAAAAATAAGACTTCTGAATACGAAAAAAAAACACAAGCAGAACAGAGAAGTGACACTAACCTTCAGTCGCTCTAATGCCAAAATCAGAAGTTTAGTGTCGTGCTTGTAAGACAATGGAGGGAACGGAATAGGTGAGAAACGACGTGACTCCAACCAATGAACAGTAGTTGTATATATTGCCACAGCTTCTTCCGCACTTATATAAGGTCCATCTTTCAAGTAGTTATGTTGCCGCTCTTGCTCAGCCTGAAGAAAGAAAGAACAATTGCGCCGAAGGAGGGAAAATCTGCAGCGTAGAATATCCTCGTTGAAAGACAAAAAAGACCTTCAAATAGAGCCTCGTAAGCCTTCCAAGGTTCTTCTTACAAACGGTTTTATCTACTGTTGCACCACGCCTGACACGCTCCCTGTTGTAATGTGCTGAATTTGTCCACCAGTCCGCTTTCGCTTTTACATAACGTAAGATCATGTTTTCTACTGGTGTCGGCAAACCAGGTACCTAAATTACAGAGTAAAAAACCTAACAGATAAGCACGACTTAAAGCAGTGAAAATTTATGGAAAGAACTCTCCAACCAAAAGAACAAATCTCCCTTAATATTTGTTATCTACCTTCCACGGGATATTCGCTTTCCAACATCGCCAAGCTTCGCTTAAGTGTTGCAAAATCACTCGTGCCTTGTTTTGTTTTATACCTTCCGGCATCATATCCAAAATATCGTGCATCACAGCAGCCCTAAGGAGGTGAAGAGTAAATCAACAAAATGGTAGCTAAAAGAGCTAGATCCCGAATAACAAGGGGGTTTGAGCGTTAAATAAAAGTACCTAAGTTCCAAATCAAAGTGTGACTCCACTCGCTGTTTCGTAACTGTTTTTGCAACACCCTTAGAATGCCTTCCTTCAAACTGCCTTGACAAAAGGTTACCGAGCCATCGCTCCAAAAGAGGCGTTATCCCACGCATAAAGAATAACCAAACGCGCCACCCAGGTGCCCAAACACCGCACCCCGGTCCTTTTCCTGAAAACCAGAAAGTAGTCCAACAGAAAATCTATTTCGAAGGTTAATATGCGTCAGAACCCAAGCCCATGTCTCATTCAACTAAATATATTAAAATGAAAGAAAGAACACACCCACTGGGCCCGTATTAAATCTGTAGTAGATTAAATGCTTCAGATCCTTGCACATTCGAACCTGTCTCATCAGTTTGTATTTGTACCGGTACATACCAGTCAACTGCCCAACGTGCGAAAATATATACTGCAGTCCATCAGCAAGCTAAAATTATTAAAAATATGGCTAGTATTGTGATTTTTGCAATAGTCGTACAACTGTTCAGACCTGATAAGCGTCAACATTGTTCAACCTATACTGAACATGAGCGTCCACAACTAGTTTTGTCAATCGTAATATTTCTCGACAAAGGTGGAATGCATTCCCAAAACGAGACTTTTTACGCTCTTTTGTTGTCAGCGTTTTCACTGGCTAAAAATTTCAAAAGTTCTCTAAGGTAGAACAATTTAAAAGGCAAATGCCCAAAAATTAAAAAACTAATTGGCCAATCCGTACTTTCAGATTGAAGTTATAGTCCAAATGAAGGTAGTTCAAATTCTTCCGATGTATCAACAAATTCAACATGTTATAACCTTGCCGCAAAACCTGTAAACCGACTTCAACCCAATCTAAGGTTGTCGACTGGAAGAACTTCGTTGCTTTAAACGAACGGAAAAGATACCTAAAAGGCAAACCACTCTTCCGAAAAAAATACAAATGGCGTCCAAAAAATTTCGTGCCAAAGACACAAAATTATAAACCTTCTTTTCTGAGGTTTCGGTGGACGGTGCCGTAGAGCATTTAAAACATAAACCTTCAGAAGCTTCTGGTAGGACACTCGAACTTTTACAGGCATTCCTGTAGTTAATAATTATGCGTAAAAAAAAGCATAGCCGTTACTGAAGTCACAATAATTACCTGAGGGGCAGTGCTCGCGATACCAGCTCAGCACTAAGGGAATGTCTATAGCCCTTCTGGTACGACCAGAACGCATATTGAATGGCCTCCGTGCCCATAAAAGCGCAATACCGTTGCCAGTGTTTTCTGTATAAAGCGAAACATCAGCAAATATAGGCACAACTTCCTCTGGCAATACAAATTCCTCATCCTCACTCGGAACCGGCTCATGTATCTAAATAGTTTAACTTCAATAAATGGAAAAGTTGAAAAGAAAAAAACAAAATGAAAAAATTAAGAAATTCTACATAGGCTGTCTACTGTATTACAGACTATCGTATGCATGAAGAACACTAAAAACATGCATTCGCCTTCCTGTTAAATGCTATTGGTCGAAAAATATATTTAAACAAATAAAAACATAGCAGCTATAAAGAATAGCTGTAATAATCGACCAGTGAAAATACTTCAAAAAGATTTGTTTTTAAACGACAACGAAGTAATACAAAGAAAAAAACCTTTGAAAAATTACACATATAAAGTAGAATAAATACAACGCAATAATTTATGACCTTCTCAGAGCGCTGAGCAATCGGATTGATCAGAGGATCAAAATAAAAGGCTGGCAAATCAGGGTCTTCAGTCTTAATGAACACTACAGACGGCGCATGGTACCTAAACGATCACATCGTGAACAACAAAGAAAAAGCTACTTAGAAAAATCCTAGTAATACTAACCAGGACACTTGGACGGGCAAAGCGTTAATGAGGTTGTTGTACATGAACGGAAACGCGATACGGTATTCAGTTCGAATAGGAGCTCTTATAATAACTTTGTTGATGTCATTAAACTCATTCCAGTCCTCGTCCCTAAAGAAAATACTGGAGTAAATCATAAAAAAACAAAATAAAAAACGGGTAAAATTGTCGTGTACCATAAATGCGGAAGAATACTGAAAAAACAACTTCCTCAAAAAAAGAGAATAAAGTACTAACAACGCATTTAAGTCCTTAATGAGTGGTTCAAATTTGGGTCCTCCTGGAATAGCCACATTCAGTGCTTTCGCGGTGAAAAATGATTTCAAATCAAACAAATAATAATAGTTATCGTCAACAAGATCAGTCATCAACTGATTAGCTAGCCGGTACAACGTAGCCATCATAGGGATACTAAAAGCCCATCGCCGATAGGTGGTCCCGTTGATAAACCTGACAAATAAAGTGAAAACGGTCATTTTCAACTAGACAAAATGTTGTAAAAGGCTATATGCTAAAACAGATATACCTCGTTTTTGCCAGAGGTTTGTGATCATAGAACCAATCTTTCACTGCTTTATCTTCATCTTCATCCATATCCATTTTGATTGGTTCAAGTGGCTCAACATCAAGTATGTTATCCGCATAATCTAACGGAGGTTCTTCGTCGTCAAATGGAGGAAACCTCATCCTCTGTTAATTCAAATCAATTCTATTCCGAATTCTTCAAGCGACATATAACAAATTTTAAAAGATAAAAAAAAAAGCTAGCAACACCAAACGAAAATTACTTTAAAATGTCGCCGATCCCTCTTTTCACGTCTCATCATTATCCACATAGTACCCCATTGGGCCATATAAACAGGCTCGACAACGCGAGGAATTTCATTCACG